TGGCTCTACAGCCAAAATTTCAGATTGCAGTACCATTGTAGACTATCTGTGTGAAATAGTATATTATCTCTAACTGCAGCTTCCTTGCCCTTTTAGACTTGTTTCGTCCTAGACTTGCTTGTTTATAACAGAACATCGCCATGACCTGGTACGAAGCCGTAGCAATGTATTTTCTTGAGTAGGATTGTCCTGTCCACTCTGCTGTTAGAACGGATGACGTGGAGGCACACGCGGCGACTGGGCTGTGTTTTCGTCCGTGCGATGAACGGTGAGCCTTCCCGTGCAGCTTCATCGACGGATGCCATCACTCCACACTGCATCTCGATTCTATTCGTGACGGATTGAAACGAGCTTGTCCTCCTTCCGCTTAGCGCCTTTTAAGAGTTTACGTAAGTGGTAAATATCTCAGCCTGACTTGCCTAACAGCTCTAGTCTGGCTTGAAAGGTCAGTGGTGCTTCTTGCATGACCGGCCTGTCATCAGAATACGCCCTGGAGTCATGCTCAGCAGGGATTCCTGCGGCCACTGCTCGCTTATTTACTTGCTCACTACTAAACTTCGCGTGCGCTTTCCGAATCCACGTCATTTCCGCTCCTTACTCCCTCTCTCGCTGCTCACTTCCGTTTGTGTTTCCCCAGCCGCGTGACACGCTAGCAGCTACAACGCGCTGCTGCTGCAGAAGCTTCGCTCGTCGGTGCGGACTAAACTAGCCGCGGAAATGGGTTGTCGTCGTCAGGCTCATGAGTGGTGGAGATTAGCTGATACCAGCTTCTTCAGCCACCTCACTAAATGCGCGATCCGTGAATATGTATATATTACGTACCATTTCCTGAATATATACGCGATTGCTGAAACACATCCTTCCCGTGGGAATACGGCTAGCTTTCGCGGGTTTTCGTACTGATCAGTACTACAAGGCTTTGTCGGCGATACCGTCTTCGCTAACTTCGCAGCTGAATCGCTTGATACCCGCGCCGGCTAGTCGCGCCGTGTGTCATGGCGGCGACAGTTCAGTGCAGCTCACAAGGAGGATTGTCCACCCTCCGTAATGCCAGCCTCACCCTGCGTCTCTCCCACCAGTCATCTTCTCCCCTCCGCCTCTTCCATCGCCGCTTAAACCGCTGCTTTAACCTTCACGCAGCCGCGACGGCTGGTGTATCAGCGCCATCCGCGGATGCTGCTGCTGTTACGAGATTAGTAAAAGTTGTCAATGGCGGTGCCGCTGGTACCAACGCGCTAACCGCAGCCGTCGAGAACTTCGCGACTCGGTCGATATCTGTCGCAGCCCAGGCCTCTTTAATCGCCTCCGTCGCACTCCTCGTCAGCAGCTCGCCCGCGGTAGCGGCTGATGACGTGGCAGTTGACGTGGCAAGCGCTCCGCTTCCGCAGGAGATTCGACGCTCAAGCGACGCGTCGCGCCAGGAAAACGGCATTCCGTTTCTTGCGCGAGTCGCGGCTTCTCAACTGCGAACCGCGCCGCTCTTAACGGTCACATCCACTGACATCCTAGAAACGACGGACGCTGCGGAAACGGCGGCGGCGGAGACGGCGGAAGCTCCCAAGGTGCTGGATGGAGCGCGTCTGCTGACGGAAAGCCAGCGCGGCGCGATGCTGCGACAGCTGTCGGATCTGGAGTCGCGCGACGGGTGGCGGATCCGCGTGGCGACGCGGTACGGGGTGGAGAGCGGTTTAGATGGCAAACAGATCCGCGACTTGTGGCAGGTGAGAGGCTGGAAGAGGGGGAAAAGGGGGGAAGGGTGGGGGGGTGGGGGGTGGAGGGGTGGGAGGAATGAAGAGCGGAATTTGTGGGGTATTGAGTGATTGTGTGAAAGGAAGTGGGTCTATCAGCTAAAAGTTGCGACCTTGATTGGATGATTGAGACATGGTTGAGGGTAAGGGGGTAATACGGTAGGAGCATAAGAGTTTACGAGGACAAGAGAGAGTGAGAGTGAGAGGTGTGAGGGGAGACTGCTGGGGAATGGGAGGTTGTAGGAACCAGTGACTGGGAATGGTGTCGCCATTGAACTCAGGAAAGTTGTGAACCTTGGAGGATATAAATCAGGAGCGCGACATTGTGACTTCAAGAGAGCAGCGCTTAAGTAATAACGAGGATGAGCCTGAGGGCCTGGGAGCTTCTTTTATGAAAAAAAACAAACAAACAAACAAACAAACAAACAAACAGATATTAGAGGTGGCGAACCTTCCATGCTCAAACTCTGTGTTTTGTTTTTCCAACTCATGCCGCTCTCCCCTCGTTGCTCACATCTCCAACTCATGGCGAGATTTTCATCATACTTAGAGGTGCCCCTCCCCTTTGTTGCTCACATGACACCTCTGGTCGCTCATTTAGCAAGTCTCGCAACTGAACTCCTTAGCTCATCAATCCCTTTAATTCTCTCATTTTTCTCCGCTCGCGTTGCAGCCGTCGGATCGGACGGTGATCGTGGTGGCTGACGTGGCATCACCCAACATCCTTAGCTTCAGCATTGGAGAGGCTGTGCGGTCCAAGCTGCCCTACCAGTTCTTCACAGAGCTGCAATCCAGGTAATTCCCCTTTTAAAGTGTCTCAGTTTCGTGTACAAGGTTCACATTTCAGTTGCCATCAGTGAGGCTGTGCGGTCCAAGCTGCCCTACCAGTTCTTCATGGAGCTACAGTCTAGGTGCGTTAACGCATATATGTTACATATTTTTTTAGACTGGTACATATACATACCGAACTGGTACTACACTACACGGCGCTTCTCATTGCAGTTACCATCTGGTGCAGCGGCAAGGCTGTTCTATCCAAGCTGCCCTACCAGTTCTTCACATGCCCATCTGGGACCACCATATGCTCTTACCCCCTCCGCCTCCTCCCCTCCATCTCCCTCCCCCTCCAATCCATTTTCCCTTCCATCTCCCTTCTGCCTCGCCTCTGCCCCCCCTCTCATCCTTCCGTTCACCTGTCAACCTTCTTCTCACTTGCATTGCTTAATAACCTGCTTTCCTTAGAAACCTCTCCTCCTTTCACTCGTCCAACCCTTGTGTCCCGAACCCGTACCTCCACGTCAGGTACGGCAATCAGTTCTTCGTCCGGCAAGAGGGCGAGTCCGAAGCTCTCACTCGGTCGGTCGATGCCATCCGAACCTGTCTTGCCGAACCTAACGGCTGCCTCAAGGTCCCCGGCTTGGTAGACGACCTCTACTTCCTCACGCTCGGCGTTTCCGTAGCTGCAGGTGCGGTATTCGGCTTTTCTGCGCGGCTCCCGCCCCAAGGCCAAGTGGAAGCTTCCTGGCAATGGGTGGCGATTTTCTCCCCTCTATGGCTGCTTCTGCTGCTGGCGTTTGGGGTGTTCCCTGTCGTCGATCGGACGGCTGATCTTGAACCGTTGATTAAGAATCTTCTGGGATTTGCAGGGGGCGCAGGAGCAGTTTACATGACACCTATTCTAGGGGAGAGCCCTGTTGCTAGGGTAGGGAAAACTCTGAAGGACAATGGAGACATTTGAGTATCTGTCCTGGTTGAGAGGTGGTGATAGATGCCCAGGGTGTTTTGTGAGGTGCGGTGTGGCTTGTGGGAAATGAGTCTGCACTGCATGTGCTGCATGGTAGCGTAGTGTAGTGCAGTGTGCATGCTCTGTTGTAGCACAGCAGGACACGTTATCTGTGTTACACAGCTTTTCGTTGCTTGTATCCAGCTGCCCTACTAGCTCCAACTACCGGTACATTAGGAAACCGCCGCATTGTGTTCTTGTTTTGGTATCTACCCAATTTCAAATGACCCCAAGGAAGCCTACCAAGTAGGATATTCTGTAGAACCATTACCGTCATCGCCCGGATATAAGACATGTATGTCTTATCTCATACATTAAAAAAAAAAGTCTTATAAATGGACAAAAATCCGTTTAGAAGATACTTCCTCGTTATACATTTGCCATTTGCCTCTACACACAAATAGGTGTCTTATAATGAGGCTACCCCGTTTATAAGAGACACCCGTATAATAGACAACCCCTGTCTACTATTCAACACTGTCTTATATCCGGGTGATGACGGTAATACATTACACTGTCTGCAACCACATGGTAACCCAACCAGCACAAGAAAGCAACAAAATTCCCCTCAATTGCTGGCATGGCATGGTAAGGGTGTCGTTTTGTGTCGTGTTATGTCATGACACAGCATGGGATGCGGCATGTCACTGCTGCAGTCATTTCTTGTTCAGGTTGAAGCGCACTTGCTGGCAGCATGGAAATCGGTGGGATGGGAGTATTGAGGGAGAGTAATTTTTGTGTAGACTAAAAAAATGTCATGACATGGGATGTCATGTCACTTGTGCAGTCATTTCTTGTTCAGGTTGAAGCACACTTGCTGGGAAGTATGGCAATGGATGGAATTAGAGTAGGAGGGAGATTGGTTCGGCTTGGGACAACTAAGTAAACGAATCAAGTGTGCACCATGGAAACAGGGAGATTGTGCTTTCAGTCCACTCAAAAACACACCTGAGTCGACTCAAAAACACACCTGAGTCGACTCAAAAACACACCTGAGTCGACTCAAAAACACACCTCAGTCGACTCAAAACACACCTGAGTCGACTCAAAACACACCTGAGTCGACTCAAAACACACCTGAGTCGACTCAAAACACAACAGGGAGATCGTGCGTTCAGTCGACTCAAAAAATGACAATGGGGACATTGGGATGGGTATAATCTGAGTGCATGCGGTGGCTTTGAGTCGTCTCAACGTCCTGAACCAGCTTCAACCCACCACAACACCAATGCACACCTTGACCAGCGAGAGGAAGTACGCCGGCTGTGAAAGCAAGCAAGCAAGGCTTTAAGTTGAGACGTTTCAAAGCCTGTTTAAGCAAGCAAGGCTTTAAGTTGAGACGTTTCAAATACTCATTACTCACTTTGAGATCACCACCGCACCACCAGCTCACCTTGAGCAGCGAGAGGAAGTATGCGGGCTGCGAGTGCATGTGAGCGCTTCGAGTTTTGGTCATACCAGAATATTGATCACACACCCTGAGAGCACAGCCCAGCCAGCAATGCACCTTGAGCAGCAAGAGGAAGTATGCCGGCTATGAGTGCATGCGAGGGTCTTAACCCACCTTCACCCCACCACACCGCCACCAAGCAGCTCACCTTGAGCAGCGAGAGGAAGTATGCGGGCTGTGAGTGCTTGCTGGCACCGGCACCGTCAAACAGCAGCTTGGGTTGCTCGCTCTGTGAGGTGAAACGAGTGAGTTTATATGGGGTACGATTGGCAACAAACATGGAGAGGAAAGGAGAGGCGAAGAGAGGTGAGACTGTAATGAAGAGTGATGAGAGAAGCTAGAAGATTCGAAGGAAAAATGCGAGGTGAGGGGTAGCTGGATACTGTTTGCTAACAAAAGGAAGATTTATAATGCATAAAAGACGTTACCAGGAAGCTAACTGTTGTGATGGTATCGAGTCGCTTCTTAAGGAGGGCATCCTGAGGGGCAAGGCGCAAGGGGGGGATGGCAAGTGGGGGGCAAGAAGGGGAAGCGGGGGTAGTGACGAAAGTTTTGAGGCGCCTCAAAACTCGGCAAGTGGGGGGCAAGCGGGGGCAAGCGGGGGTAGTGACGACACGCAAAGGGTGTAGAGCCGCTTCTTCAGAAGGCCACCCTAAAAGATCAGTTACATTGTTACAGCACTGGGAGTAGCAATTTGAACAGCGTAACTACAAGGAGCAGATAGGGCGGAGTAGCTGGGGGAGGACCAGGCCCCGATGGGAAATGAAGTGAAATAAGTTAAAGTACACAAATAAGTGCAATTTGGTTGTAAAAAGTACAAAAGTTGTTACATGTTTGATATACAGACACACACAGTGCTGACACAGGGAGATTCTGTCTTTTTCCTGACACAGCGCCCTCTTCTCACATGTTAATTATTTACTCACTCTGTCACCCACCTTGTCCAGTTTCTGGGAGTCGGGCCAGACCACCACCCCTGTGGCCACGTGCTTGTAGAACACATACGGGACACGCAGCACTATATCATGGTCATTGGCAATGCTGGAAATGCTACTCACTGCACTCACCCACCTTGTCCAGTTTCTGGGAGTCGGGCCGGACCACCACCCCCGTGGCCACGTGCTTGTAGAACACGTAAGACACACGTGGGACTATGTCATGGTCGTTGGCAACGCGGTTCACTGCACCCACCCACCATTTCCAGTTTCTGCGAGTCGGAGCGAAGTACCACCCCCGTGGCCACGTGCTTGTAGAACACGTAAGACACATGCGGCACCAGCACACCCATGCACGGACAGCTGTGCTACTCACTCCACTCCCACCCACCTTTTCCAACTTCTGCGAGTCGGGTCGAAGCACCACCCCAGTGGCCACGTGCTTGTAGAGCACGTAGGGGACACGCGGCACTATATCATGGTCATTGGCGATGCGCCAGCTGTCACCCACAAGCTGGTTGGGAGGGGTTGAGATGGGTTGGAATAGAAAAGAGAGGAGGGGGGGAGGGGAGGGACAGGTAGAGTATTATGGGGCGGACAGTGCTTGTAGAACAGAGAGGAGGGGGGGGCGGACAGTGCTTGTAGAACAGAGAGGAGGGGGGGGCGGACAGTGCTTGTAGAACAGAGAGGAGGGGGGGGCGGACAGTGCTTGTAGAACAGAGAGGAGGGGGGGGCGGACAGTGCTTGTAGAACAGAGAGGAGGGGGGGGCGGACAGTGCTTGTAGAACACGTAGGGGACACGTGGCACTATGTCATGGTCATTCGCAATGCGCCAGCTGTCACCCACCAGCTGGTTGGGATGGGTTGGGATGAAACTTATATGGCTTGCACGACACCATGTCCAGGTCGTTGGCAAAGCGCCAGCTGTCTCCCACCAGCTGGTTGGGTTGGGATGGGTTGAGATGGGTTGGGATGAAACTTATCGGGCACGCCTAGCTCCATGTTAAGGTCGTTGGCAACGTGCTAACTGTCAGTACCACCAGTGGCAATTCCCTGCTCTCGATGGGGACGCCAAGAGGGAAGGGACCTGACAGCTAAACGATACGCACCTGGTTGAAGCGAGCAGCAAAGGCATGGTTGCCCACACGAGGAGAGCCGAAGTTGTAGAGAGAGAGGGTGAATCCGTGCTGCCTGTGCTGGTGACAAGCGACGCAAACATGGGGGAGGGTTGCATTTTAGACTCCTCACAAGCCACACGAGGAGAGCCGAAGCTGTACAAGGTTGTAGAAGGGTGAACCTCACAAGCCACACGGGGTGAACGGTAGCATATGTATGAAGACATATACACCTATCATATACTTGAGCAGCTATATATATTTTTCACACATTGGCTTATGTATATGTGTACACATTATGTACGTTTTAATCTTAGAGAAAAGGCCACTCACTCCTTTTGACATCACACATTGACAACACACCTTGTCGCATATCATGTTCACCCTTCCTCGCTTGAGGTCAGACTAGGTGAGATTGTATGTGAAGAGTGCGGAGAGTGGAGAGTGGAGAGTGGAGAGAGAGAGAGCAACCCAGTGTGAAATATCATATTAACCATCATGCATCACACTCACTTCTTCAGGTCGGACTGGGCGAGGTCGTATGTGAAGAGCACCGCACAGCTCCACACCGCACCGCACACCACACCACCTTTCTTACTTTTCACCTTCACCACACTCACTTCTTGAGGTCAGACTGGGCAAGGTCATATGTGAAGAGAGTGGAGAGAGCACCTCCCAGGCTGTGCCCCGTGACCATGATGTGATACCTGGGGGCATGGTGGCACGATAATAGCACGATGGGAGGGAGGGAGCAATGTATACTGAATGGGGGCAACGAGAACCTCTGCTGCAAGAGAGCTCCCCCCAGGCTGTGCCCCGTGACCATGATGTGATACCTGGTGGCATGGTGGCACGATAATAGCACGATGGGAGGGAGGGAGCAATGTATACTGAATGGGGGCAACGAGAACCTCTGCTGCAAGAGAGCTCCCCCCAGGCTGTGCCCCGTGACCATGATGTGATACCTGGTGGCATCACAGTGGGATGAGGGTTGGTTGGTGGTATGGTGACATGAGGATGGGATGATTGGATGGGATGCAACAAGGATCACCACTGCAAGAGCGCCCTCCAGGCTGTGACCCGTGACCATAACGTGATACCTGGTGGGATGATAAGGATGGTGGCATGGTGGGATGGTGGCATGGGAGCGATGTGTTAAAAAGGAGGCAGCAACTATCAATAATGCAACAGCGCCACCCAGGCTGTGCCCCGTGACCATGACGTGATACCTGGTGGGATGGTGGCATGGTGGCATGGCGATGACATGATGGGATGGGGTGATGGCGTGGGAGCAACGCATGTGGATCCATATGCATTGCTCCCATGCTCTTGGAGCATGGATCCTTGGCGTGGGAGGCTCCCTCCCATTGCTCCAAGAGCGCCACCTAGGCAGTGCCCCGCGACCATGATGTGGTGCTCCTAGTTCAAGCCTTATTTCCTAGTTCTACGAAGCAACACACCCACTTAGCTGAAAGTCTGGATACAGGAACCAGAAGGCTTTTGAGTCGACTTGAAAGTCTGGATACAGGAACCAGAAGGCTTGCTGCGGTTCGAACCAGAAGGCTTGCTGCGGTTCGAACCAGAAGGCTTGCTGCGGTTCGAATCCTTTTTCACTCTGCAAGAGGCTACCGATGCTCCAAGAGTGCCACCAAGGCAGTGCCCCGCGACCATGATGTGGTGCTCCAAGAGTGCCACCAAGGCAGTGCCCCGCGACCATGATGTGGTGCTCCAAGAGTGCCACCAAGGCAGTGCCCCGCGACCATGATGTGGTGCTCCAAGAGTGCCACCAAGGCAGTGCCCCGCGACCATGATGTGGTGCTCCAAGAGTGCCACCAAGGCAGTGCCCCGCGACCATGATGTGGTGCTCCAAAAGTGCCACCAAGGCAGTGCCCCGCGACCATGATGTGGTGCTCCATGAGCGCCACCTAGGCAGTGCCCCGCGACCATGATGTGGTGCTCCAAGAGCGCCCCCAAGGAATAGGAAAATAGTTTCGACCTAGATCCAACAGAGCTAACTCGTTCTAATCTCTTCTAGGCTGGGCTTAGGCTAGTAGGGATTGAATAGGTAAGAAAACTGTCATTCAAACCGAGGCCGATGCATGCTCCAAGAGTGCCGCCGAGGCAGTGCCACGCGACCATGATGTGGTGCTCCTAGTTCCCCGGAACATGGCACAGCACATGATGTGGTGCGGAACATGGCACAGCACATGATGTGGTGCGGAACATGGCACAGCACATGATGTGGTGCGGAACATGGCACAGCACATGATGTGGGGATGGTGACACCATGGTGGGATGATGGCGTGTTTTGAGACGTCTCAAAACACTCCTTTTTTCAGGTGGGATGATGGCGTGGGATCAATGTTACTGAATGGGAGGGAACAAGGATCAATGCTGCAACAGCGCGCCCCCCAGGCTGTGGGCCTGTTCCCTGTGACATGATGCGAGTGTATCTTTCAGAAGGCTCACTTTTCGCTAGAAGATGCGAGAATAGCTTTGAGCAGCAGAAGGAGCCGCGGCTTCACAGACTTGTAGCCGTCCAGAAAGCCATCATGCACCTGGGGGATTGGAACCCAGGGGGAGAACACGCGAGGATTTTGTTAGAAAAGGACAGCGGTGAGCAGCAGGAGCCGCGGCTTCACGGACTTGTAGCCATCCAGAAAGCTGTCATGCACCTGAGAGAGGGCGGGAGCGTTGCAGCGAAGGGGCAACACTCAATATTGGGAGGAGAAGGACACGAGAGCCTGTTGAGAGAACGTCACACAATGGTGTACCTGAGCAGCAGCAGAGGGAGCCGCAGGTTCCTTTAGAGTCGGCTCAAAAGTCAGCTTCCAGGGCGTGAATCCATCCCAGAAAGCCGTCATTCACCTTTTAAAAAATCTCAAAAGCGCCTCACAGACTTGAGCCCATCCCAGAAAAAACGTCATGCACAGAGAGGGCATGCGAGGACATGCGAGGGCATGCGAGGACATGCGAGGACATGCGAGGACATGCGAGGACATGCGAGGACATGCGGGAATTGGACGCGCAACATCGGTGAGGAATTGAACTAAAGAAGAGGGCATGCGAGGTTGTTGAAAAGGTTCTTTGAGAATTCTCAAAGAACATGCACAACATCGGTGACGAATTGGACTAAAGGGCATGCGAGGCTGTTGAAAGAAACGGGACAACAGCGGTGTGCAGCGGTGTGCAGCGGTGTGCAGTGGTGTGCAGCGGTGTGCAGCGGTGTGCAGCGGTGTGCAGCGGTGTGCAGCGGTGTGCAGCGGTGTGCAGCGGTGTGCAGCGGTGTGCCTGAGCAGCAGAATGTGGCGAGGCTTTTCGGACTGGTACTCATCCCAGAAAGCCGTCATACGATTGTGGGATTGGAGTAGAAGGAGAAAACACTCTACCTTGATGTCCATCTTGTTATCCTCGTCAGTTAAGTCCGAGTCAAAGCTGATTTTGGTTTTGGGGTGGAGGGGTTGACTTTTCAGCCGACTCAAAACTCAGCCCATTGGCCGCCTAAAAAAGAGTTACCTTGATATCCATCTTGTTATCCTCGTCAGTTAAGTCCGAGTCAAAGCTGAATTTGGGTTGGGTTGGGGGGAAGAGGCTGACTTTTGAGTCAACTTAAAAGTCAGCTCCTGAGTCAACTCGAATCACGTTACCTTGATGTCCATCTTGTTGTCCTCGTCAGTTAAGTCCGAGTCAAAGCTGGATTTGGGTTGGGGGGAATAGGGGGAGGGAGGAGGGAAGGGAAGAAGGGATTGTGAGGGACGGAAAGGAGAAAGAGGAAAAGGGAAACAAGAAGATGCTGGTGGGTTTACATATAGGATGAATACATTTTGGAATATCAGATGACAGCTTGTGTGTGTTAAATGGAATCAATAGGATAAATACGAGTTGTTTCCGTTTTTTTTTTTTTTTTTCAATAACCGCATCATTAAGCCTGTATGCATCGTATGCTTGAACTTGACAACAACATTCTGGGCACTATCCACATCTGTGCAGCACTCACTCACTATCCACATCTGTGCAGCACTCACTCACTATCCACATCTGTGCAGCACTCACTCACTATCCACATCTGTGCAGCACTCACTCACTATCCACATCTGTGCAGCACTCACTCACTATCCACACCTGTGCAGCACTCACTCACTATCCACAGCACTCACTTTTCCCTGTGCAGCCTCAGGTCTTCCATTGCATCCTTGAGCATGGGAACATCATCAGATGGAAGGTAAAGATCAATGCGCTATGGCATGGCCAATGGCAGCGCATGGGCACTGGCACGGCATACGCAATGGCACGGGCATTTGCAACGCATGGGACACGCAGCACTCACTTCTCCTTGTAAAGCCTCAGGTCAGTCAGAGCGTCCTTAATCTTCTGACCTGCCTGTTGGTTGGTGGCCGAGGGAAGCAAAGGAGCAAGGGGAGAGGGTGTGCGGGAGGCAGATGGGGATTATGGGTATGGCACATGTGTAGTGTGGCATCCACTTCTCCTTGTGCAGCCTCAGGTCTGTCGGAGCGTCCTTAATCTTCTGCCCTGCCTGTTGGTTGGTGGCCGAGGGAAGCAAAGGAGCAACGGGAGTGGGCGTGAGAGAGGCACATGGCGGATTATGGTTATGGGCACATCACATGGTTATGGGCACATCACATGGTTATGGGCACATCACATGGTTATGGGCACATCACATGGTTATGGGCACATCGCATGGTCATGGGCACATCACATGGTCATGGGCACATCACATGGTCATGGGCACATCACATGGTCATGGGCACATCACATGGTCATGGGCACATCACATGGTTATGGGCACATCACATGGTCATGGGCACATCACATGGTTATGGGCACATCACATGGTTATGGGCACATCACATGGTTATGGGCACATCACATGGTTATGGGCATCCCGACCTGTCTCATCCCCCCGACCTGTCTCATCCCCCCGACCTGTCTCATCCCCCCGACCTGTCTCATCCCCCCGACCTGCCGCATTGGCCACCTCGGTGCCTCGAAAGGTCACTACCACCCTCTCTCTCCCTGCATCCGCATCCCCATAAAGAGCCCCAATCCCCTCACTTCTCTTGCTCTATTCCCACCTGTCCATCCTTGAGCATGGCCGCATTGACCACCTCAGTGCCTCGAAAGTCCAAACCCAACCAGTTTCATCCACATTTGCACACTCCTCACCGGTCCCATCCACATTGTCACACTCCTCACCGGTCCCATCCACATTGTCACACTCCTCACCGGTCCCATCCACATTGTCACACTCCTCACCGGTCCCATCTGCATTTTCACACTCCTCACCGGTCCCATCTGCTGGCACCAGTCTCATCAGTCTCCCACTTCCCTTGGCAACTCACCTGTCCATCCTTGAGCATGGCCGCATTGACCACCTCAGTGCCTCGGAACGACACCACCAGCCTCTTTCTCCGGGGGTCCTTGTCCCTCCACACGCCCACCTGCGCGTTTGACAGACAAGAGATAAGCGACCAACTGAAGGTGCTTCTAAAGGTGCCTCAAGAGCTTCTTAAAGCAGCTCATGAAGGTACTTCTTACTGTGCTTCAAGAACACCTTCTCTTAAGGTGCCTGCCTCTCTTTAAGTTGCCTCAGAAAGCATCTCAAATGCGCCCTAAAGCCCTAAAGCCCACAGTTACATCTCAAATGCGCCCTAAAGCCCTAAAGCCCACAGTTACATCTCAAATGCACCCTAAAGCCCTAAAGCCCACAGTTACATCTCAAATGCACCCTAAAGCCCTAAAGCCCACAGTTACATCTCAAATGCACCCTAAAGCCCTAAAGCCCACAGTTACATCTCAAATGCACCCTAAAGCCCTAAAGCCCACAGTTACATCTCAAATGCACCCTAAAGCCCTAAAGCCCACAGTTACATCTCAAATGCACCCTAAAGCCCTAAAGCCCACAGTTACATCTCAAATGCACCCTAAAGCCCTAAAGCCCACAGTTACATCTCAAATGCACCCTAAAGCCCTAAAGCCCACAGTTACATCTCAAATGCACCCTAAAGCCCACAGTTACATCTCAAATGCACCCTAAAGCCCTAAAGCCCACAGTTACATCTCAAATGCACCCTAAAGCCCTAAAGCCCACAGTTACATCTCAAATGCACCGTAAAGCCCACCACCCAACTGCGTGTAAGACTCGCCACCGCTCAGTAAAGACCTGCTTCTAGAAAGGCGTCTAGACATATGCCTCAACATAAGCTTTAAAAGGCGACTCAAAGCCCACCACCCAACTGCGTGTAAGACTCGCCACCGCTCAGTAAAGACCTGCTTCTAGAAAGGCGTCTAGACATATGCCTCAACATAAGCTTTAAAAGGCGACTCAAAGCCCACCCACCCTGCGTGTCCGACTCCCCACCCACCGCTCAGAAAAGAACTTGAGAGGTGATGCACACTGCTCTAAAGAAGTTGACTTTTGAGTCGACTCAAAAGTCAACCCCACCCACCGCTCAGAAAAGAACTTGGGAGGTGATGCACACTGCTCTAAAGAAGCGCCCAAAAGCCCACGCCCACGCCCACACACCTGATTGTCTGACTTGCCACCTTAGTTGGAGTATACGCTCTGAACATTTTGCGTATTGCGTTTATACGCGCTAAAAAAACGACCGCTGCGTTTTTGGTTCGGAAACGCTGAAAAATGCTCGGGCAGACCGGGAAAAAAAAATCAAAATTTGAGTTTCGTTTAGCGACATGGCGATTCAAGTGTGGGGTTTCGCACGTCGCGAGTGCAACCCCGAATTCGAAATTTGAAACCGAGTCGCACCAAACCCACCCTTTACCATTGCAAACCCCCTTGTACCCCGTTCACTTCCAACCTCTTCAAACACAATGTTGAGGTGAGTCCCCCTCAACCCACCCACCATTCCTACCATAAATGTCGTGTCGTGTCTTTCCACTCGACTTTCATTACTCAGTTTAGCTCTCTTCTTTAGCTCGCCTTTCAGTATGGCGACCCCTCCTGCAGCAACACTCAGTACTAGTACCCCTACTGCAGCTCCTAATGCTAGTTCTGTTGAGGAAACCTGCGCCGGTCTGGTTATCATGCACGAAACCCATGCTGTGTACAAGCATTTCCTTGTGAAACCCGGCGACGACAGCGACCACGCCACCAAGGTGTGCATGTACTGTCGCCACAAGTTCACGGGCGGTATGTACCGCGCTGCTCAGCACATCACCAGCTGGAAGGGTATGCGGCGTCGTGAAATCCGCCTCTGCGAGGAAGCTCCCAAGACCGCGCGGGATGGAGTGAAGTCACAGTACGAGACGAAGTCCAGGACCCGGGACCAGAAGCGCGCGGCTGAAGTCTCGGCCGTTGCTGCAGTTTCTGGTGCTTCTCGCGAGGCGAAGAAGTCTCGCATGACCGATTTCTACGGCGACGCGTCAGCCTGCAAGAAGAACGATGCCGACGAGTCGATCTGCCTCGCGTTCGCTGCTCTGCGCCTCCCCGAACACCACGCGGACCACCCTGTTTGGCGCAACATGGTCTCCTGCATTGCGAGTGCGGGCGAAGGCTACCTCGCACCGAGGCGTCGCTACGTTGGCGGCGTCGGGCTCCAGAAATGTCGTAAGCGCATTGAGGCGGCGCTTGCTCCTATCGCGGCGAGCTGGCGGCGGGATGGCGTAACGGTGGCAAGCGACATGATGACTGATCGTAACGGCCGTCCGCAAGCCAATGTCCTTCTGATCAACGACAGTGGCGCGGGCTTCGCTGAGACAATCGACACACGGATGGAATCGAAGACGGGAGGTTACATCGCGGGGCTTCTCCGTCCCATTCTCAAGAAAGTCGGACCGGAAAATGTGGAGGCATTTTGCATGGACGGCGGCTCGAACTATGCGGCGGCGTGCAGGGAGCTGATGGAGGGTTACCCCCACATTGAGTACATACCTTGTGCTACCCACGTCCTCGATCTGTTGATGGAGGACGTGGGGAAGATGGATTGGGCGAAGAACCTTGTCACCCGCGGGGGAGAGATCATCACCTTCACGCGCAACCACCACTTCACGCGGGGGTATTTGCGAAGCTCCGAGGTCAAGGGCGGGAAGGGCAAGCAGGTCCTGAAACCCGCGGGCACCCGCTTCGGGACGCAATTCATCGCTATTTCCCGCCTTGTCGAAGTCCGTGCTGCCCTCGTGCAGATGGTTTTAAGCGATGAATGGAAGGAGTGGGCAATAGGGGCAAGGAGTAAAAGCGCGGACACTTTCCGCGAGCACATCATGGACGAGGCTTGGTGGAAGACGGCCGAGTTCTTCACCAAGCTCATGGCGAAGCCGTTCGCCGTCATGCGGGCTACGGATGCTGCGACAAAGGGGATGATGAGGCACCTCTACGACGCCATGCTGCAGCTCACCGAGGACGTGGATGCAATCCTCGAGGAGCACTCCGCGGGTCACCTGACGAGGGCGGAGGTTAAGGAGATCCGCCTCATCGTGAAGGATAGGTGGGATAAGTGCTTGGCGTGCCCCTTGCATGTGGTTGGCAGGATCTTGAATCCGGTCAACCAAGAGGAGGGCATCTTCAGAAACGACATCGAATGCACGCGAGTGCTGAAGGGCTACATCGCCAAGCACTACGACCACCTCACCATCACCGCGAGCGATGGCGAGGAGCGCCGAGCCTCTCTTGTGCTGCAGGAGGAACTGACGGCGTACCTGACCCTGCAGGGGAGTTTCGGGCTGCCCACCGCCTTGGAAGACCGCGCGGCTGTGAAGGCGGGGAAGATGACGGCCGTCCAGTGGTGGAATTGGCACGGCACAGATGCGCCCCACCTTGCTACGTGCGCAATCCGCAACCTTTCGCAGCCGGTGTCCGCGTCGCCCTGTGAGCGCAATTGGTCCATGTGGGACGCGGTCCACACGGCAAGGCGCAACCGCCTCGGGTCCGAGAAGTGCAGGGACCTCGTATATGTTGTGCACAACTGGCAGGTTGTGCACAATTGGTACAAGGTCCCTGAGGGGCAGCGGGTGGTCAAGGGCAACATTCCTGAGGCGCCCCTTCCCGAGGGCTACAAGGTGGAGGAGGATGGGGCGGAGGAGGAGGTTGGGGAGGAAGAGGACATGGTTCTTGAGGATGAGTATGCATAGACATGCATGTGGAGAGGGGGTGGTATGGGATGGGATGGGATGGGCCTATGAAGTGTAGTGATTCTTGAAAAAGGGAAAGGAAAGGGAGGTGGGGTAGGGGGTCTAGTGATGTAGGCAAAATGTTGTGTGCATGTAACCTGCCCTATAATACAAAAGGGGAAGGGAGGTGATGGTGCCTTGCACCACCCCCTTCCCCACATCTTAACTCAAAAAAATTCACCTGCCCGAAACTTTTTTTACCCCTGCCCGGCCCTGCGTTTTCACTGCGTATTAGACCCCTCCAAAGCTGCGTACTGCGTTTATACGCTAGTGTATAAAACGCGAAACGCGTATACTCCAACTAAGCTTGCCACTGCTCCGGAAACATAAGAAGACACCTTAACATAAGAAGACACCTTAACATAAGAAGACACTTTAACATAAGAAGACACCTTAAGACACTTTAACATGAGAAGACACCTTAATAAGGAAGCGGCGTAAAGCCCACTCACCTGAGTGTCCGACTCGCCACTGCTCAGGAAACACACGCTCTCAAACGCCGACTTGAAAAACTCCGGCTGCCCGCCCGCAGCTGCCCGGGAGAGGTTTTCCCAGGCGGCGAGCGTCACGTTATTGGCTCCTGTGGCAAAAAGAGCTTCAACTGCCCGTTGGTCTTGAAGGGAGAGCCCGTACGCTGCTGCTTCTGCTTCAGTTTTTGAATCTTCCCCCGTTTTTACAGCGGCCACTTGCCCTGCTGTGGCAGTGGCAGCTGGCACTGCCGCAGCGGACACTTGTCCTGCTGCTGCTGCTGCTGCTGCAGCAGTGGCAGTGGCAGCAGCTGTGGCATTATTCTTGACGGTGCTGCCTCTAGAAAGAGTGGCCGATGGTTGAAAGGCCGATGCGGGAAGAGGCGTGGTGAGAAGCCTCTGGAGGATGGGGAGAGGCTCGAAGCTGGGGTGGTGGGGGGGGCAAGACGGAACGAAATGAGAGGAGCTATGACTTGGGGGTGATAGGCGTGAGTGAGTGATTTCTTGAATACAAGAAAAAAGGAATAGAATGGTGTTTCTACCAGCCTCTCTGCCTCTCTGCCTCTCCAACTCTCTCACAGCCCCACACGCTCCTCTCCCTCTCACCCCTACCCATCGCCTGCACCGGAGCAGCTCACATATTCTGCCTGCCTTAGGTGCTGCCTGCCTGCCTTAGGTGCTGCTGCTCCCGTTGCATCTCCACACACTACAAACACTCTCACCCTCCCACCTCTCTCTCTCACCCCTACCTGTCGCTTGGGCCGGAGAAGCTTGCATAGTCCACCTGCCACAGGCACAAGCAACCACCCAAGATGCCCTGCCATACTCCCTCACTGTTTCTCCAACTCTCCTACCCTTCACAGCCCCACCCCCCCTCTCCCTCTCACCCCTACCTGTCGCTTGGGCCGGATAAGCTTGCATAGTCCACCTGCCACAGGCACAAGCAACCACCCAAGATGCCCTGCCATACTCCCTCACTGTTTCTCCAACTCTCCTACCCTTCACAGCCCCACCCCCCCTCTCCCTCTCACCCCTACCTGTCGCTTGGCCCAGAGAAGCTTGCATAGTCCACCTGCCACAGGCACAAGCAACCACCCACCCACCCACGATGCACAGTGCGTAATGAGATGATGAGATAAAAAAGGATTGATTGCAAATCGCTATTTCCAACCCTTCCTACCCCCAAACCCACCCACCTGAGACACACCACACCTACCTCCCCCACACCTACCCTACGCACACACACACAGTGCGTAATGAGATGATCAGATCACTCAAGATTGAAATTGCATTAGCAAATCGCTTTTTCCGACCCTTCCTCCCACCAAACCCACCCACCTGAGAGACACCTACCTTCCTTCCTACCTCCCCCACACCTACCCACACACACACCTACCTTCCTACCTACCTCCCCCACACCTACCCACACACACACCTACCTTCCTCCCTCCCCCACACCTACCCACACACACACCTACCTTCCTACCTACCTCCCCCACACCTACCCACACACACACCTACCTTCCTACCTACCTCCCCCACACCTACCCACACACACACCTACCTTCCTCCCTCCCCCACACCTACCCACACACACACCTACCTTCCTACCTACCTCCCCCACACCTACCCACACACACACCTACCTTCCTACCTACCTCCCCCACACCTACCCACACACACACCTACCTTCCTACCTCCCCCACACCTACCCACACACACACCTACCTTCCTACCTCCCCCACACCTACCCACACACACACCTACCTTCCTACCTCCCCCACACCTACCCACACACACACCTACCTTCCTACCTCCCCCACACCTACCCACACACACACCTACCTTCCTACCTCCCCCACACCTACCCACACACACACCTACCTTCCTACCTCCCCCACACCTACCCACACACACACCTACCTTCCTACCTCCCCCACACCTACCCACACACACACCTACCTTCCTACCTCCCCCACACCTACCCACACACACACCTACCTTCCTACCTCCCCCACACCTACCCACACACACACCTACCTTCAAGAAGGTACTACCTGGCTACTTACCATCCCAAGTCACCTTAAAGCCTATCAACCACTGATCCACCCCCTCCAATCCCGCCTACCCCAAACCCACCTCACCCCAAACCCACCTCACCCCAAACCCACTCCCCCCCGAACCCACCTACCTCAAACCCACCTATCCCAAGCCCACCTCCCCTTACACCCGCCTACTCCACTCACACCTACCTCCCCAAACACACCTCCCTCCCCACACACACCTACCTCCATGGTGACATTTCCTGTCGGCTTGCCGTCCCGAGTCACCTTGGCCACGACATCGCGAATCCGGGTGTCTGAATCAGTGCACAGAGAGGGATCGAGAGTGGTGGAATGCGGTGGAGAGCAGTGGCGAGCGGTGGCATAACAGTGGAGAGTGGTTCAGAGCGAAGCACAAAGGATGGAGACAAGTGGATAGCCTAACACTCCCCCAAGTCTTCCTAACACACCCACACCCCCACCTTTGATCAAGTCAGTGAGAGCAATGGTGGCCGTGCCAACCACACAATCATCCTCGTCGGAATCGTTATCATCATCCTTGCTGTGAAAGGTGATCTGTTGGCAGGCAGGGCGGTGAGGAGAGGAGAGGAGACAGAGCGGTCTAGTTTTGACTTTTGAGTCGACTCAAAAGTCAACGCGGGGCGGTGAGGAGAGGAGAGGAGACAGAGCGGTCTAGTTTTGAGGCGCCTCAAAACCACAAAATCATCCTCGTCAGAATCTTTATCATTATCATTATCCTTGTTGTGAAATGTGATCTGTTGGCAGGCAGGGCGGTGAGGAAAGGAGACAGAGCGAGAGACACGATCCCTTTTCAGATATTCCCTGCCAGCCTGCCACTGGTGAACCGTTGACCTGGTGGTGTATTTTTGAGACGTCTCAAAGATACACTTTTTACAGGAGGGTTTCAGACATTCCCTGCCAGCCTGCCACTGGTGAACCGTTGACCCGGTGGTGAGGAGAGAAATCGTGTGTAGAGTTCTCCCATCGCATGTATAGGCATTATCAAGGTTATATCCCTCAGAAAAGGGAAAATTAACTGGGGCCACCACCTGGAGCCAACAGAGCACCACCTGGGGCCAACAGAGGATTACCGAATCACCTGAGAGAGCACATACCCACCTGCAGGAAGGTGTCAGATGCAACAGCACGCGGCACCAGCAACTGCAGTTGCTCGGACCGTGATGCATTCTTTGGGCTGATAGTCAATTACCTGAAGGTAGGTGTCAAACGGTGCAGCACGAGGTTTGAGACGTCGCAATACCCACCTGCAGCAAGGTGTCAGATGCAGCAGCACGCGGCACCAGCAGCTGCAGTTGCTCGGGCCACGATGGTTTCTTTTGGCTGAAAGGAGAAGCAGGGAGGTGGGCAGGCGGTGAGCATATGAAGTGTGTACATGTGACATTCGCATGTGACGTAAGCATAATGGGAGGATGAATTACGAATGTGATGTGAGGGAAAATGCGAGGATGTGGGTGATTGTGAGGAGAGGATGTGTGTATTTGAGCATGCGAGCATGAATGGGAAGCACAGGCTCCAGCTCACTCTTGGGCCTTCACGGTGGTGTGAGCGACGCCATTCCACGTGGCTGCCTTCCCCGCTGACGTCACCAGCGCCAGCTCAGCATGGAGCGCCTTGATGTTGCCCTGGAGGATGGAGGATGGGGTGAGAGAGGAGTAGAGTGAATGAGAGAAGAGGTGAGTGTATGAGTGGGTGAGTGAGAGAGTAAGAGAGTGAGTGAGTGAACCATACCATGGCTGTGATCGCTCGCACAGAGAGCTGCCCCTGAAAGAGCTCGTGGGCGAATGGCGAGGAGGCGAATGGAGTGAAGCAGTGGTTAAATGGGTGAGTGAGTGAGTCCGTGATTGAGGGAGTGAGTGAGCGAGTGAGCGAGTGAGAGAGTGAGAGAGTGGGTGAGTGAGCGAGCTCTCATACCGTGGCTGTAATGGCGCGCACGGAGAGCTGCCCCTGAAAGAGCTCGTGGGAGAAGGGTGTGGAGGTGAAGAGAGCCGAGCACTGCCGCCCGTCCACGTCCGATAGCTTATCGCTACCCTGTGGTGTAGGGTACAAGGAGGAATGAGGATGGAGGGAGGGGTTGTTCTAGAAAGGGAAACAGCAAAGTAGAGCCGCCTGTACACATCCGATAGCTTATCGCTTCCCTGTGGTGTAGAGTAAGGGGGGTGAATAAGGATGGATGGAAGGGGCGTTCTCAACAGGGAAACAGCAAAGTACAGCCGCCTGTACACATCCGATAGCTTATCACTTCCCTGTGGTGCAGGGTATGGGGAAAAGCGCTTCACAAACCTGCTGAAGTGAGGCACTTCACATCTCTCCCTCCCACCAACCTCCCTTCCCGTGTTCCCCCTTCCCGTCGGCTCATCCAGATTCCGTCCGCTGTCCTTTCCGTCCCGTCATTCAAGCTTCTTTTCCATTGCGTGCGTGCGGCTTACAGTGGGAGTCGAGTACGCCTCAAACGCGAATCCGCACAGCAGCACGGCCAGCCGCACGTTTGAATCACCGGCCGCCACTGCCCTCAAACCTGCCGCCAAACCGGACAGTTAAAACGGCGCGCCTGCCCGCATGAGTCGCTGTGCAGCAGGACGCCGCGTACGCCTCTGTCTTACACAGGGGAAATCGAGTAGTACGCCTCATTTTCCGCACGGATTCTCTACGTGCATCCAATCTCGTAGTACACGCTACGCCCTCTTACAGTGGGAGTCGAATACGCCTCAAACGCGAATCCGCCCAGCAGCACGGCCAGCCGCAGGTCGAACGGCACGCCTTGCGCCGCGATTCCCGCCGCCACTCCCGTTGCGACTCCTGCCGCGGTGGCCTCCCCTTTCCGCGCCGGCGGGCCCTTCTCCGCTGCCGCCGCCGCAGCCGCCGACTTAGACGACCCGAAGATTGTCAGCGCGTCCTTAAGCACCGACGCGCCGCGATCGGCGCCGCTTGTCCCGCTGCTGCTGCTGGCGGAGGCGGAGGGGCCGCGGAGCAGAGTCGGGCTTGGCGGGCGGCGGCTTCCGCGCGCCGCCGCGGACGTCGGCGCGGCTGAGAGGCGGAGGCCGCCATAGGAGGAAGTTAAGCTGCGAAAAGGGAAGGTCGCGTTGTTGCGAAGTAGAAGATGGAACAATTTGAGTTTAGTGGATCACCAGGCGAATCTGCAGTGGGAGAGGATTTCGGGAAGCCAGGGCGATGTTTTCACTGGAAGGTCAAGGGTGGCTTGGACGATTGAGGCGCCTCAGAACTGCTGGTGATATTTCTCAGAAACGCGCAGCGCAACTCTGAACTGGCGTATACCGAACGCAAGCACTGATTTTCCGTTTGAAGTGATAGGAGTGAGACGACGAGTTTGAGCCTACGGAGACTAAATCACGCACTGCGAAATACCCTATTGCTGCATGCCGCAACCTCAAACGGGCCTTTTACCCGAAATGCGAGTTCAGTCGTGCTCTTACTTTTAAAGCAAGCGTTCATCGTTGGTGTTACTTTTTCACACGGCCCGTCGTCATTGACGCGCGACCTGCATCGAGCGATCACAGAATCTGTTCAGCTGATATTGGAAAATTGTACTACCATGAGAGAGATAGCTTGTATTGGGGATGGCGATCCAGTGGGGCCCTAAGAGCAGCAAGGGGAGCGAGCGACACGGAGGCAACATAGAGCGACGCCATGGCGCGAAAGCTGTCTGTCAGACGCGAAGATATTCAGCGAGTGACTGAAAATGCAACCCCTTTGTTCCAGAAAGTGCGTCTGACTGAACTATGGATTTAGCTCCCAAATCCTGATCTCGCTCACTCTGAGCTTGAGTACTAAATGGAATATGGACGACTTTTGAGACACCTCAGAACTCGCTACGCTGAGCTTGAGTGATGGATTATGGAAGCGGAACCAGTGTGTCGCAGCAGTAAACGAGGACTGCGGAATGGGGGACGGCTAATGTGGAGAGGGAGAAGGATAAACTTTCCCTTCAACAACGTTCATCCATGTATGGTGGCTGCCGCCGACCGCGAGGTTTCTAATCGCGAAGCGTAACGACAAAACAATCCCTAATAGTTTGTCCAGGAGTGGATGAAAGCCGTCCGTGTGGATGCATGTATCGCCGCTTGTTAGTTGCAGCCAAAACTGGATGCCCTGTTGGCGAGGCGACTGCCACTGCCACTGCCAACGCCAAATATCTGTGTATCGGATTGGAATTTTGAAAAATGGCCGCTGAAATGGCTGCCGAATTGCCGCTGATTTGGCTGCTAGATTGGTGGTGAACGGCTTCTGAATGGTTGCTGAATCTGGAGGACATGGAAATGCGGAAAAACGGGAGGGAGCTGCGGAATGGCGGATAGAAGGGGAGGGAGGTGGGGCGTATTGGGGGGAGGGGGATGGGGAAAGTCTCAGGGAAGATGGCGGAAACCGAGTGCGGTATAATCAAGGGAGACTTTCCGCTGGAGGGGACTATGCTTCCGCCGTTCCCCTCACGCGCAGCTTGGCTGGGGTGGCGGGGATGAGGGATGACAGGTTGAGCCTTTGCGCGCTATATTTCGAACTTAAACTTTGCCGCCATAATTCTTCGCAATCTCAATCGCACTGTCTGACAAACTGGCACATGCAGAACACATCCTCCTTGTGTGGAGTTTCGAAATTCCTTCACGAGGTCTGGTAAAAAGAAATACTCGCGGTGTGGCATACACTGATTGTAAGGAAATTCCCTTTTCCTTACTTCGCATCCCTGCTCAACGCGTACATCACTGTAGCACCTCAGTCAGCACCGTTACCACTCGCGACCATCGCACCGATAATCATCCCGCCAATTTCGCACATCGCATCCCGACCTCACGGCTCGGCTGGTAACCCGCGCTCCGGGCCTACGCTTCGATATTCTCCCAACCTCAGTCCCAGGCTCGTCGCGCGACCATTACCGTTACCACTGTAGTTTCGCTATATATTCTTCGCTCATACCTTTGCTCATTGTACTCTTGCTTCGATAGTGCAATTCTCGTTCGTTCACTCAATTGCACTCGTAACACTTGGTATTCAGAGCCTACGATCCCATCTCGGACCGCATCCACACCTTCGCTTCCCCACTATCTCAATTTTTTGGGGGGGGTAGACGTCTCTCAGCGATACAGCACCGCCGCTCGTAGTGCTCTCTCGCAAGCACGCACGGCCACGACCGAGGCTCTCGCTGAGCTTGCCCGACACCCCCGCCATGGCCGATTTCACGCTCGCCACATTGACGCAAGAGCAACTCGATCGTCTCGTGCGTCAACTGGAGGACTCGGCGCTTGAAATCGCGACTCTCACGGCGGAACGTGACTCCGCCCGTCAACAGTCTACGATGAATGTACCAACAACACCCCACGCACCAACAAACACATCTGCACATTCGGATGAGCCGATTGTAATCTCGTCCGGCACACCAACACAACATGACAGCACGGGACAACGCTCAGGCGCAGCCAGTGAGGGCGACGCCCAGCCGATGCCTGGCATGGGAGGAAACAGGATCGCACCAAGCCCACGGGAGCCTCGAGAAGTCCGTCGGCACGTGGAATTTGCGGCGACAAGTGGCGAACACTCCAACATGGCACCAATGCCGCTCAAGCCGCAACGCCCGCCCTGCTTCGACCCAAGTCAACGCGGCGGTCCGACAGTTCAATCGTGGGTCTTCACGATGAACGTTTTCTTCGACGCCAATTACGTCGAGTCGGACGCCGCAAAGATCCGGTATGCGGTTTCACTGCTAAGAGGCCCCGCCATGGACTGGTGGCGAGTCATCGTGACGTCGCCACGCGCCTACGAGCCACCGTCGCACGAGGAAGGGCCCTCGGGCCCAGCTGTCACCTGGAGTTCGTTCTGCGAGACCGCCCAATACAGCACGTGGGATGCGTGGTGCGCAGGGCTTCGGGTGCGTTTTGAGCCGATCGCGGCTTCAATTTCGGCGCGTCAGAAACTGCGCACTTGGCGCCAGCTCGGGTCAGTTCAAGACTACACCAGCGGTTTTCTCGCACTTTGCGAGCAGGTTGGCTACATGCACGAAGCGGAGCGGGTGGACCGTTACGTCGGAGGGCTGAAGCCGGATATCTCGCACGAAATAATGCTGCGCGGACTCTCTAATTTCAACGAGATTCTTGCGCTCGCCGAGAAGATCGACATTCTACGCCGACCGAGACCGGGGTCCCACTACAGACATCGCCCTCGGGGACCGACCGAGCACGCCACTGTACATGCCGTTGCAACAAATGCAGCTGCCGCACCATTTAAGGGGCGCTGCTTTGCTTGCAACAGGCCGGGCCATCGCAAGAGCGAATGCCCAAAGGAGCTGCGGCGCCGAGGAGCAGAGCAGGGGAGGGAGTCTCAGAGGCAGGGAAACGCCAGCAGTCAGTAGAAGTTGGGCCAACTACTGACGAGACTGCCTGCTCGCCCAACCACACCGACCCTCACCGAGTCACAGTACCGATTCACGCCATCGATCGGGCTCGGATGAATAAGGAGGGTACAGCGACGGATTGCCCGGTACTGATCTACGGGAAAATACAGGGAGCAGCAGTGAAGATTTTTATTGACGGAGGAGCAAGTCACAGCTTAGTTAATACCGCAACCGCACGGAAATTACAGTTAACACTTAACCGATGCTTACCGGAGATAGACGCACGCTTAGTCGACGGAACACCACTGGCCATACGGGAAAAGGTGGGACGCGTAAAAGTCCGCTGCGGAGGGAACTTCGGGTTTACACAGGAAATGCTCGCAACGACACTGGATGGGCACGACATTTTATTGGGGCGTGATTGGCTGCGACGGTATAACCCACGAATTGACTGGACGACGGGTAGCTGCACAGTGCGAAGTAGTGGTAACTGGGTCGTCCTACCTCGCTGGCAGCCACCCGAGTGTTCGACGGTCCAGGTCAACGCCATCACGATGAAACGGGCTGTCGCTGCTGGAGCTGACGTGTACGCAGTAGATATAGCATTAGTAGAAAAAGAGGAGCAGCCGAGCGATTTTCAGAAACTGTTGGCAGCTGTACCACGCGAACTGCAAGCACTACTGAAACGGTTCCCGGGTATCTTTCCGGATGATTTACCGCAAGGGCTGCCACCTCAGCGGGCACATGACCATAGGATCGAGTTAGAGCCGGGGGCACAGCCAACTGTACAGCGCCAATTTCGACTGACACAGCCCGAGCTCGACGAACTAAGGAAGTAGTTAGATTACCTGTTAGAGAAGCAGTTTATCCGACCGAGCTCGTCACCGTTCGCCGCACCGATACTGTTCACACCGAAAAAAGACGGAGGGTTTCGAATGTGCATCGACTACCGAGCGCTTAACAGGGTAACAGTCAAATCACGATACCCCATCCCCCGCGCCGACGAACTGATCGACCAGCTGCGAACCGCACGAGTATTTTCGAAAATCGACTTACGAGGAGGTTACCATCAAATTCGGGTCGAACCATCGGACTGCGCCAAGACAGCATTTAGGACTAGGTACGGGTCATTCGAACACACGGTGATGCCTTTCGGGCTGACCAACGTGCCTGCAACATTTCAAATGACCATGAACGAGGCGTTTAGGCCACTTTTAGATAAATGCGTCATAGTTTACCTCGACGACATTCTCGTTTACAGTCGGGACCAGCAGCAGCACATAGTAGATCTCGAAGCAGTTTTTAAAATTTTAGAGACACATCGGTTATTAACCAAGGGCTCCAAGTGCGAGTTTTTTCGGGACAGACTAGAGTTTTTAGGTCACGTCATTTCGGAGGCTGGGGTTGAGATTGACCCTAAGAAGCTGGATACGGTAAAAGCGTGGCGTCCCCCGACGAACATCACGGAACTGCAGAGTTTTTTAGGGTTTGTTAATTACGTTCGTCGGTTCGTCCCCGACATGGCACGCTTAACAGCCCCGCTCACTGATTTACTGCGTAAGGGGGTCCCTTTAACGTGGGGGGAGAAAGAGCATGCTGCCTTCTCTGCCCTAAAAAATATTCTCTGTTCACCACCCGTCCTACGCATCGCTGACCCACACCGCCCCTTCGAAGTGGTTACCAACGCAAGCGACATCGCCATCGGAGCTGTACTGTTACAGGACTTCGGCAACGGCCTCCAACCCATCGCTTACGAATCACGCAAGCTCCATCCACCTGAGCGAAATTACCCGATACACGACCGCGAAATGCTTGCGATCGTGCATGCATTCAAAGTGTGGCGCTGCTACTTGACCGGCGTAGACGTGACAGTACGGACAGACCATCGATCCCTACAGTACCTTCGCGCACAGCCCCACCTCAACCCACGACAGATTCGGTGGCTCGACTTCCTCGAGTCGAATTTCCACTATACAGTCACATATAAAAAAGGAGCCTCGAATATCGCTGACTCACTGACCCGCCCCACTGCCCAAATCCACGCGATACTACTCACCCAGACCAGCCCATTACTGACAGGACTATTTACCCACTGATATCAAACAGACCCGTTCTTCACAGGAGGAAATTCACAGCAATTCGCAGCAG